GATAAATAAACATTTCACTCTTTTGCGAAGTATTTTTTATGAAAATGAGGCCTCAGGCCTCGAACAAACAGCCGTTGTTACCATGGCGACAAGAGTGCTGCGACCTTTAAAAAGGGCATTTTTTTTTGCATCCCCCCTGAGTGCCTAACTGCATGCAAAATTTGAAGGGGGGTCGAAAATTTCCATTTCCCAAGATGTTTTATTCTTACAGAGACTTGTTCTTAAGTAAGTGATGAATACACAGCAAACGCAAAGGGTAGCTGCAGCCCGAAAGAATCTTTTTTTAAAAGCGCATCCTCACAAAGGATCTCCTACCCACGGTACTCCCTTTATATTGCACACATTTGAGGCTTTCACCTCGTGTATTTCATATGTCATAGCATCCATTACTTTACCTTTTTCAGAACACAAGATTTAGAGAAAGAGATACAACAGTTAAAGGAGAGGTAGGTGTCAAATTCGCTCCTTCTGTCATAATGGGATGGGATGGAATAAAATCGGATTGCGCAAAGAACACACGAGTCAGCTAAGACTGTATCAAACTATCACTGAACAAATAAAAGCATATCTACGTTTTCTGAGCATTTAGTGCGTCTTTATTTCCGAGTGGCTCATAGTATTCCAACTGTGTTCTAGATTCAAGCAGTGTATAGGTGTGTTATATGAGAAGAAAACACCAGCTGATGAAAAACCCTTTGAATTTGTATTACAGCACTTTTTTTTGTTGTTTTCTTTTCTAGACTAAGCGCGTCGGAAAAACGTCTAGTTTCGAAAGAAGAAGACTTCCAAAGGTAGGCGAAACTTTGCAAATAAAGCGGATGCTGATAGTTCTCCGATATTTCCCTGTTTCATCCATATGGCAGATCCTTTTGTATTTTCCTTGCTTGCTGAAAGATTATTCTTCCTTATCAACATTGCATTCATGCGTTTATCCATTTTTTTTTTGTGCCTTTACACATTCTTTTAATTCGTCTATCTCATTGCTATCCGTTTTGCCCCATTTTTTAAAAGTAGAAATATTTTTACCTACTTCAGAATTAAAGGAAGAGTCAATTAGAACTTTTTGCATTTGCAAAACTGAGGTACTATTTATGGGGCGCACTCACGGCGATAATTAATCATGACAGAAATACAGATTTTCACTATTGTCTCTGATGCCATACATCTGTTACAGAACAAGCCATTTTTTCTCCCTTGCATCATGTGGATCTATAAAATAGTTTTAGTATTAATACCCTAATTTCTATGACGAGGGATTTAAGTTTTAACTTTAACATTTTGCTTTTATAATACTGAGGTACTATTTATGGGGCGCACTCACGGCGAGAATCAATTACAAAAATATAGATTTTCGCTATTGTCCCCGATGCCATGCATCTGTTACAGAACAAGCCATTTTTTTCTCTTGAATCTTGTGGATCTATAAAACATTGCTAGTATTAATACTCTAATTTCTATGACAAGGGATTTACGTTGTAATTATTTGTTTAATTAATAGACTGAAATCTGAAAAGGAAAAGATGGAAAGTCAATCCAAAAAAGATATAAAAGCGATAGAGAATAAGTTAAATGCTAATCGCCAAAGGTAAGGCCTGGATTTACCCTAAATGCGGTGTGTAAGTAAGGAAATTGTGCCACGATGACGATGACGGTGTGCTCTGACGAAACTGCCTGAGGTCCAGGAAAACACGAATTAACAAGGCACGATTGGATTAGCAAAACCAACTCGATCGGAATTAGTTTCAGCACTCAATTAAAAATTGCTCCAGTGACTATGATGGCTGATTTTTATTGCAATTTATGCTACTTCTTCTTGTTTACCGACCACTGATGTTTGGTGATGGAATGTTTTTTTTAAAGTATTCAGTGGGCATAGATGAGCTTGTCAACTGTTGACTTGAAAGTTCTGCACCATGCCTTGTTATGATAACATTGTTTATACTAGTACTTTTGATTCCCAACTTGCTTTAGGCGAGATAAAAAATATAAGCTCAATAGTTACCTCTAAGCTTTCAAGACGTCGCGGATTTTACCCGACGGAAGATGCCTAATTGAGTTATTTATTGTACGGAAAATAACGTACAAGCTGTTTATAGAGTAACTGAAGCCTGTTTTTCATATTGAATACTTTTAATAGTCACAGTGCAGAAAAGCAGCGTTTGGAAACAAGATTTACAAAAGAGCTTACGGCAAGAGATCGAAAGCTAACTGAAGTTCAAGAGCGGTAAGATCAATTACCGTATTTCTTCACCTATAACCCGAGCGACTTTTTCAGTATTTGACACAAAAGTTTGAGCGATTTTTCCACAAGACACGGGATTCGGCTTACAGCGGGGGTTTTGGATTCAAAAACAAGTAAAATTGGGTTAAAATTGTCATGACAACAACGAATTTCTGACCACCAATCAGATTCTTTGCTTCCCATGCATTGAAAGACAATCTCACTCAACTTGGCAAAACTCTTCACATTTCACATTAAAAATAAATTGTTTGGTCTCTCTGCTGAGAAAACCACTCCATCACTTCTCCTTTAGTTCGGAATACTTGGGAGTGAAAGGGCCCATTTTTGCACGTTTTGTAGACATCTTAAGCTCACCAGAAAGAACAGATGCCTGGTCTCTTCTCCAGCATCGCACCATGGACTCCCAAAGTCCATAATTAAATCTTGAGCTATTTCTGAGTTTTGCTTCAGCTTAACTTTTACCTTGAAATCCATTGTATACGAAGAGCGGCATGCTTTTGGCGTGATGAGAAAAATAACAGCAACGAAAGAGATACTCGATTGAAACGTTTGTCAGGTTACAGTAACTGAGAGTATTGTTGTGTTTCTGCTGTCGCGTGGTAGTATTTACATCTTCTTTGATTCGCTTTTTTCCTTTTGTGTTTATTTTAATTTATTAGCTTTTGTGTTCAGTGAGCCATTTCCCAATGTTTCTCGTGAGGTTCGTAACGCACAAGTTGTCTATAGAGTAACCAAAGCCTTTTTTTCATATTTATTACTTATAATAGTCACAATGCAGAAAAGCAGCAGATGGATAAAAGATTTACAAGAGAGCTTACGAAAAGAGAACAAAAGTTAGCTGAAGTGCAAGAGAGGTAAGATCAATTATGCTTGAATTAACTGTTTCTCATTCACCAGAGAGTGCGCGGAATGATAGCCTCAGGTGCGTCTGAACTTTGCTGTACTAAGCAACAGAGACGACAGGGTCTTACAGTATTTAGCATGGTATGGCAAAACCAACTCGCTCGGGGATCACTTTCAACACTCAATGAAAAATGCAATTTTTGCTACTTCTTCATGTTTATCAGCCACTGTGGTTCGGTGATGGAATGACGGTTTTTTAAAGTAGTCAATGTGCATAGATAAGCTTGTCAACCGTTGACTTGAAAGTTCTGCACAATGCTTTGTGATGATGACGTTGCTTTAGTACTTTTGATTCCTAGCGTGCTTTATGGGAGGACACAACAGTTACTTCTAAGCTTTCGAGGCGTCGCGGATTTTACCTGACGGAAGATGCCTATTTGAGTTATTTATTGTACGGAAAATAACGCACGAGTTGTCTATAGAGTGACCAAAGCCTGTTTTTCATATTTATTACTTATAATAGTCACAATGCAGAAAAGCAGCAGATGGATGAAAGATTTACAAGAGAGCTTACGAAAAAAGACCAAAAGCAAGCTGAAGTGCAAGAGAGGTAAGATCAATTATGCTTGAATTAACTGTTTTTCATTCACCAGAGAGTGCTCAGAATGAAAGCCTCAGGTGCGTCTGAACTTTGGCGAACTAAACATCAGAGACTACAGGGTCTTACAGCATTTTATATGCTTCCTTAATGCGTTAATCGAAACGTAAAACACTTAGGAAGGTAAGAGAGCAAGGAGGATGCGTATGCGAGAGCTATAACCCAGCTGTTCGAATGTGCCCACATGAACCATTGCGAGGACCTGAACTAGACGCCAACACATTTATGCGTCTAGTTTGCACATCCCTCACCTTAATATCATTTCTCCCTTAAGAAAGATAGAAAAAGAAACTGTGTAGCTTTTCCTTGTAACTGACTAGGTACAAAGGCTGTTGAACTTCGGAAACTTTCAAGAGCCTGTTCCTTCTTTAAAACACGGATTGCGTCAAGTTAACGAAAAAACCAATGATACTCCTACGTTCATACCCCTCGTGAGAAACCCACAATTTTCAGGGCGCTACCTTATTCAAGATGGGTACCCCAATAGATTTTTCTGAAATTGTTCCATATTTCTTCTTAAAAAAGGCACTATGACCAAGCTGAATATGCTCAAAAGGCATCCTCTGCACTTAGCCTCAAAACTTTCTTGGTGTTTGACAAACATTTTTTAAATTTATTCTAAAAGAATATTTAAGAAAGTGTTATTCAAAGGAAAGAGTTTTTATAAAGAGGAAAATTAAACACCTATTCCTTCTCGTTATGGCTCAGTTTTGAGAAACGCTTTTTATTCGACATGCATACTATTCTTGATAGTGTCAACACCATACAATCCAACACGGACAAACATTTCTTCTCATATGGAGTTTTTTACTAATAGAATAGAAGTTTTCGATACCGTTGATCATAACACACTACTCAGGGGTGCATCCAGCTTTTTGACTTGTTTTAGGCATTTTCAGTGGTCTAAAAGCGTGCTAACCTTGTGCTTTAACGTTACAAGATTTGTTCTTGGTTCTTCTTTGTTATTAAGGTCTCAGAAGTACATATGTCGTGGCGAAAGTTCACTTCTTGTCTCAAACTTTACAAGAGTCAGTAAAAAAGTCAAACGGGGAAAAATCCTAGTTGCGGGCCTTTGGGTCTATAGGCTAACTACGCCCCAGCCTGTACTTAATAAACTTTAGCCAGTTTCATCTAATTTAGAGGGTAAAACGCTGACAAATCAGGTTGGTTCATGCATTTCCAAGAAAATCACCACCTGCTCATGTATGATCTACCAAAACAATCCGTGCTAGAACAACTGCTCTTTCTATAATACATTGTGACGTTCATGATCACTGTGGTTCCATCTGACACACACTCTTTTTGTCTTTTCGCCGATGGCACCAATATTCTCTGCGCTGACAAAAATCTAACTGTAGAAGAAACTATGAAACAATAAATACAAAGAAATCTGACGAAGTAGTTCCTCATTCTTATAAAAAACGTATCTATCAACCAAATATTCATATTCGTTACAATTTCTTTGGAAGGAAAATAATAATTCAGTTACCCTTGGGCAGTAATAAATCGTTACCTTTTTTTGAAATATCACATCGGTTATATTACACGTAGAATAAATAAAACAGTAGGATTAATTGCGAAATTAAGACACTTTTTACTACTACCGACTCAGTTGAATGTAAGGAGATATTAATGTCCCAATATTTTCACTTGTGAACGTTTATCTAATTTACATAATTTATGGACCAACTTAACATATCACAAATCATAAAAAAAGAGTTAAATTAACAGAAAGTGATAAACAATAGTATGTCCGAAGGAGATGGTAATAATCCTTAATTGGTGCCTAAGTAACATTTCTTATGTATGTATAATTACACGTGCATGTATACATGTATATGGCGGTAAGTAATAATTCGTTCTTTGTACTTCTTGTCCCTGTTCTTTATCTCTGTCACAATTATATATTAAAAAATGTCATAATCTATGACTGGCCCGCCGAGATTTATTCGCCTATTTGCGGTCAGTCCAATGTAACAACGTGCAATATGTAATATGTAAAACAAATAATAACATTTATGTATTGTAACTTATAACTCTCTTAGCTTTGAGAAACTTCGTGACAGCTTTAACGTGTACCTCAAGAAGCAGGCTACAGAAGAACAGGAATTAATTAACAGGTTAGTATCCTGAGTTGTTTATGTTGCTGTTGCCTCAAGTGAGTTTGATGTTTATTTGTTACTTCAATTTTTTGGTAGAACAACGTATTTGGCGTTGCCACGAAGCAATAAGTCATTTCACTGAAACAATCAGCATTAGCAGGGTCCTTTGTTATTGTTATTTTCTATGGGGTGGTAAGAGTCTTTCCCAAATGCACGTACATTCTCACTGTGTTGACATTTTGATTACACTTTTTGATCATGTTTATCTGTTCAAAGATTCATTTGATTTGACAATGTATCCATGTTAATATTCACTTTAAGTTTGTCGAAGAGGGACGAGGAGTTACGGGTTCTCCGGGAACAATTAAGAGACAAGACAGTGAGGTACTTGACCTACAATGGTATTGTTTTCAGCAAATAGAGAAACATAAATATACCGCAGCTTGCTAATTATTATTATTTTTTGTTGTAAATAATTTTTGAACTTGTGGTTACTTTATACTTCTCTAAATTAAAGAGCACTCCACTATCATCAAATCCTTGTCATTCTGTTTGAAGTCTTACTTTTACGGGATAGGAAATTTGCGGTCCAAATTTTAGAACCAATCGCAAGTCACAATTTCACTAGCCCTTACTGCTTATAGATTGGCCATAAGTTTTGAAAAGCGACTGAAGCAAGATCAACGACGAGTTGAAAATACTGTGGAATCAAACACACCCAGTGATATAGAAAAAGACTTCAGCGAATTTTTCGATGGAGAGAGGCTTGACGCTTGTGACGACATCGAGTTCGTGTTGGGCCCATCCGGAGAAATCGAAGATAATGTTTATTATCCAAGATTGGCTTGCTTGATATTTGAGGTAATCATCATACATGTAGCAGTAAATAATTTAAGATCAAACTTAACTTAATAACAACAATTCTAACTGATCCGCTGAGATTATAACCAGTAGAGACATGAGGTAAACATCATGAACTAGTGTTATCATGACTAAAAGAGCGGTCGTCATTGCCCATTCTTGTTGTCGATCCGTTTAAGGCTGTCATCTCCAGTGAATTGACACTTATTTAGCAATTTTAGGGAAATTTTGCCGGCTCTCAGACTCGTGTACGCTGCTTCAAATAGCTAGATCAGGATGTCTTTATTATTATCAACTTGACTCTTGTCTATAAGAATGTAAGAGACAATTGATGCATACCCAACGCTCCTGCATGTTGGATTAGGCTGTGAACTAGTCCGGCAAGTTCCGTGGTGAAGATAACAACAGCATTCCACCAATTTGCGAAGGCATGCCCTTCTAATATCCATAATACATTGCGCACTCACAAAGTAAAGCTAAGAATTTCAAGACGTCCAATTAAAATGTTCTGATTGGAGATTGTGCGATGATTTTTCTTATTTTTGGAAACATCATGATTTCTTTTGTAGACTGCTTACGAACAGGTGAAAGAGGCAAGGGATGCCGCTTGTGATTTGTTCCAAAACGTTACCAGCCAACTAATTGGGGAAGCTCCAAGAATGTGCCAGGAATTATGCCACGCAAGAAAGGTTAGGATGTACATAACTAAAAGGCCTTCATTATCTCCTGTATACTCTTGCATCATTCACGAGGCGTTTTGAGAGGGTGTGCATGTATGTGTACACTATTATCATTGAATTGCATTACGATTTAGACACACTTAATAGCCCTTCCTCTTCACTGTCTTAGCCGTGTTAATGTTGTTATTTTTTATGATTATCTTCATGATAATGATTATTGATTTTAAGATTTTGTTAAGGTTTTGTTTTGCACTTCTTTTCCTCCCAGTTGATAACTTAACCTCTTGATGTGCACAAATGATGGAAAAGCTCCTTTAAAGAAAATCAATTTCAATTATGCTTAATCAATAGAAGGAATTAGAAGGTCGATGATCAAAAAAAATTAATTAAAAAATAAATGAATAACAAAGAAGAAGTTGTCCTATGCATTGACCCTCTGTTCCCTAAATATGGACTAAGGCCGTATTTTAATTCAATTGCTTCCTCTGTTTCTCAATTAAAGGAGAATGGTGCTTCTGCTCAGTTACCAGAAACATTTGATCTTTTAACGGGGAGGATGGATGAAGGAATATCAACGGATGTACTTGATGGAATGATGCTTTCCTTGAAAGAAACGTCACACTTGGGTAACCTCGACTGCTTCCAAAAGGTATGTGATAAATAAAGAATGAAACACGGGCACGCGTAGATATGGAATTTCTCCTCGAGTGTCAAACTCTATAGCTCACGAGTGAACGCAGCGAACAGGTGAGATATCGATATCTACAAGCAACCATCTTTTATTTTTTTTTGTTATATAAACACAAAAGGCCTTTACTAATAAGAAGAGTCGACTTCATTAATGAATGAGAAAAGTTGTAAGGTGCGTCGGTGATAAGGCTTGAGATGAAATTCTCAGTTATTGACTTTTTCCTTACCGATAGAAGAAATTTTTTCAGATACACGGCCAAAATCGGCCTGTGACAAATCTTCCAGTTGGAGATTTTCGTTCTTAGCCGCGAGAAATGCCACTGCTAAAGCCAAGCGCGTAACTTTCCATTTTGCTTTTCGTATTTTGGTGTTCTTCTACCTCTAGGAAATTTTGCACATGACTGTTCCAAAGCGATACGAATTTTAAGTGTTTTTAGCAGCCATAATCCGTAAACAGTTAGGCAACACTAAGATTAAAAACGAATATCTTTTATTACCAATTCCAGCCAAATTGTTCTCTGCCAATCGCAAACCATGACGCAACAGTATGAAAAAATCCTGGAAAATTCACCCAGCCACACCAGCTTTCCATATTTATGATGTGCATGAATCGACTGCATCAAATCAAAGTATTGTGCGTAATATATTTTTGTTAACGTCATCAAGTTCAGCTTCGGAGTATGCGCCTTTGGAATCTTAAAATCTGGATATCACGATCATTTAAATTATTTTCATTTCTATATCAGTTACCATTATTGTTGTTATTATAAAATTTGAGGAAGAGAGAAATGCCCAAGATATGTCATCATGGTGGAAGTATTGGCGAACAACTCTTTCTCAGATTGTCAATGAACAATTGGTTCATATGTCAGCGTGCGTTCATCGATATATGAAGTACTCGGGAAGCTTGGAGAGCACGAAAGATGCGTAAGAGTAACTTCTTGAGTTCTCTCCAAACTTCCCAAGTGCTTTATATCTCGATGAACGCACAGCTGACGTATGAACCGATTGTTTTATAACATTTTCAACCCGATGGTTTGCTGATTTGATTTGTTTGCTAACGTCATGAGCGTGCACAATAAGAATATGATGCACACTCGCGCAATTGAATTTGATGAGACAAATTTACTTGCTATGTTATAAAATTCATTTGATTAATATCCACATTCATTATTTTAGTTTAGTTTTGAAAGTCTTCATAGTGATTATTTCACCCTATTTGATGTTTTGACTTCTCAAAACACCCTTAGGATGTCAGGAAGATTGTGTGGGAACGTTGGACAAATTGCATGTCCGAAATGGAGGGATCATTCTTACCCAGGCCTTCAGAGGATGTGTTGACACGACTCGGTGACTACATAAAGGCATGTATCAGGCTAACATGGAGAATGGTTACACAAGTTCCACCAATGCAGCTTGAGTATGGGGCTGTGCAATTTGACAAAGATTTGCATAAATTGGCGAGATTCCAACATCGTGCAGAATACAGTCGTGGTGCAGATCATCTTTCTGGGCAGGTTATTGCCTGTTACTTGTGGCCTGCACTTTTGGAAGCGGGTGATCGAATTGTTTTTCCAGGAGAGGTTATGTGTGAGCCTGAATCGGATGGTTATGTGGTGATTTCCCCATCTTTGATACCCTGATAACAGGATAGATAAGGATGGAGGATAACATCCTCCAAAGAATCTTTCAGAAGGAGGTCACACGTTACGACATAAACATTATGGATATTACATATCTGCAAAATTAAAACATTGCAAAAGGAGGCATATAATTTAATCGTTTGTCTATCATTCCAAGACTGTATGATATCTTTACACCTCGCCGGTTGAAGAGTACAGCAGCCTTCTACCCCCCCAAAATTAGCAATATAGATTTGAGACCAGCATCTTCGTCTTTTTCTTGTTCACAAGTAAGGTCTAGCCATCGAAATGGCTTAACTTCGGCAGCTTGGAGAAATCTTTCAAGTAGACTGACGAAATGTAAACAGGGAGTCATTTTAAAACCTTTCGGTTTCGGTTTTCTCGGGAAAATTCCCTTGTTGTTAAATATCTTCGTGGCTCTCAATTTTATTGCTTTCAAAGCAAATTTCAATTTAGAAATTTTCCGGCAAAAAATGCCAACCTAATTCCTTCATCGGGATTATGCATGAAATGTGTTACACAATAAACTTTCGCATTTGGGTTTCCGTCACATACTCTCTCTTTCTCGTTATCCGATACTTATGAAATTAAAAAGGAATGTGTTTTCTGTGTAAACAGGATATTGTAATTTCAGGCTGTTGATCGTCACTTGATTCTGGGAATTTCCCTTCCTGTTTGGGTTTCTCAGAAAGCACCCTCCAAGTCGTTCTTTGACACATTGAATGGCGAGTTATCATATCACTAAACTTCTGTTGAGGAAAAGACAAGGCAAACCTAAGGGAATGGCTTCAGAAGGTAATGATGTTTATACTGCTAGAATTTTCACGCGAAAGCTACAATGTCCACCACAATCCTTAACAATTATTGTTATCAGGCCATCAAAGCTCTTGCACTCAGGAGTAAGCACAAAATGGTGCACTCAGTCAGACTTATTACATTTTCCATTACAAAAGTTACTCTAATTTTGTTCAGGATATGCTTCTTAATCAAAATTATGCCGTAATAAACGCGTGAAGTGATGAAATTTTTGAGAGGTCATACGTTACGTTAATAGAGGTCTGCACTTTCCCTTGCGTCTACAAGGCTTTTATTAGTCACAAGATATAATGAATACTAAATATCCAGAGCATTAAAATATTAAAGTCATTGAATGTAGACTCGTTCATCGATCATTCCAACACTAAATGTTGAAATTATTCCCTAGAAAAAACCAACAATAAGAAGAAGAAAGATTGAGGGGCAGCGTCATTGTCTGTTTGTTGTTGATATGTTAATTAGATTTATGCATTAAGGTGGCGTGACTTGCGATGATTGCAAATGTAAACGGGAAGTCATTTAATAACCTTTCGGTTTCCGCTTATTCCGAGAAATTTCCCTTGTTATTGAATGTCTTACAAAGCAATCGGTCGATCTTTTGTGTCGACAAATTTTACTGCCCTCAAAGCAAATACCTGTATTAAAATTTTCTTTACACAAAGCCCAATATATCTCTCGACTAGGAGTCTGTTTTGCGAGAAACTCAACAGGACGAGAAATTTATTTCGTAAGCAAGAGCATGGGGCACTCTATTTCGTAATTTGATTTTCGTGAGATACTTCACGAACTTTGCCTGATAGTCGTGAAATTAGAGAGGAATTCAGTAAGATTTTATTTTCTGTGTAATCAGGATATTCTAGTCTCATGACCCTTGATCGTCGGTTAATTCGGGGAATTCCCTTTCTGTTTGGATGTCTCGGAAAACACGGTCTAAGTCAGTCTTCGATGCTTTGAATGGCGAGACATGCTATCACAGAACTCCTGTCGAAAAAAAAAACAAGCAAAATACAAAAGTATGGCTTCAGAAGGTAATTCATACCGCTAGAATTTTCATAAAATTAATTCCAGAGAGATCAAATCTTTGAATCATACATTCGTTTATCAGCTCATGCAAAAGCTACGCTGTCCACCACGATCCTTAATAATGATTGTTTTCAGGTGATCACAGCTCTTACACTCAGGAGTGGTCACAAAAATGAGCATTCAGTCACACATTTTAGTTTACCTTCACAGGAGTTGGTAATTTTGCTTAGAATATGCTTCCAAATCAAAACCATGAGATCCAACAAGCCTCAGAAAACATTTTACATGTTTTCGTTGTTGACATCTGCAAGGTAATCAATAAGATTCTGAGAAAATAAAAATGGTTTCTTTTGGCATGACGCCATTTGTAGTGACGTTTCTTGTGAAAGCATTGCCAACCAAGTCTGTGTCCGCATAAATTTTGGTTTAGCAAGATAGCTGATTTATTGTCCAAAACTTACATCTAATACATTAAGGGGGTAAGGTTCTAAAGGATCAGCTATGTCGATAGTGTAATGTTTGTAGATATATCGTCTTGTCCCACGCTCGTGGCAAGACGACAAACATCTTTCTTTATTGCTTTACCGAGCTCAAAACTTACCATCTCTCTTATCAACTTTTGGCTATGCTATGCAGTAGATGACTATGGCGGATGTGCAGTAAAGTGATGAGTGATCCTAATGGATCTCTTGTGCCCCGATATTTTCTCTACGTTATGAACGAAAGGACAAGTTTTGCATCGTGAGCGAGCGCATTTGAAAGTTCCAGGTTGGTCATTGGTTTGAAATGAACTTCTGACCAAAAAGTTGCCTATGTTTTTGTCACGTTTGAATAAATTAGTAGACATTACCAAAAGATAGTACCAGTCTCTCAATCGTTTTGGAATAATGTAAAGTTTTTAAATTTGATGATAGATTTAACTGCGTGGTTGTGTGGGTGAAATGTGAGAGTGAATGGAATGTGGTCCGTATTTTCCTTCTCAGCCGTTTGTAGTGCTGACTGTCGATCAATTGTTGGGCACGGTGGTGGCCCGCGGAACGACAGAAACAGGATAGCCACGTTTCGATAAACTTTAAATCACTCCAAAACGATTCAGAGACTGTTACCATCTTTTCGCAACCTCCACTAATTTCATTCAAACGTGACAGAGTGCTTCAGGTCTGGAGACAAAATAGGACGAACTCGAGAAACATGCCACGTCTTATATCGTTTGGTCCCTTGATGTTTAGTAAAACGTTATATTGACACTCTGTTCCCTTCCCTTATGACTATGATTTTATGATTTTAGGTTAATTTAGTAGTGTATTAACTAAATGAATTACTCATTTGGTTTGTTTCATTTTGCATTCTATTACGTTTTTAAAGACTAAAACAAGTACTTATTGAAAAGGAAAAGAAAAGAAAAAATGTCCAAACTCGCGACTTCTCGAGAAAATACATTTGCCATCAAAAAAGTGGAACCTTTCTAGTTTTGCGAGGGCCGTGCAAGATTTACAGCTTGTCTCCTTTTCACTTCTTCTCTTTGTACCTAATGCAATTGCTGGCAAATTCGGCATTGAAACATTATTCAAGTGTTATTATTTTTTTCACAGTTCGTCAGGGGGTGGTATTCTACAAAGTCTACGATCTGATTGGGTCCGAGAGCGGGCAGCATTCTCCCATCCGACCCGCCTCCGTTTCGAATTGAGTCGCTTTGCAAAACATGTCTCGTTTGCTTGGAAGCCTTTTAAATTAACTTTACCATTACGCGAAAAAAAAATGTCTCAGTCGAGTCTCTCTCTTTAATTTGAATAACCTATCTACCTACTCGCTCAAAAACTGTTCAGTTTATGGAATTACAGCTCTTAATCAATCTGGTCTCTTAGCCAAGCACTTAAGGATGGAAAAAAAAAATGAAATGTTATTCACCAGCCTTAGTCGGTCCGTATTGAGAGAAAGCCTACACTCTATCTTGCGTATTATGGATATTATGTATAAAGAAATAATTTTTACTGTAATTTATCAAGTCTCAGATAAGAATCTAAAGGAAGACTAAGAATGAATTCAGCTCTGTCCTCAGACAAGCTCAAACTTCGCATATACCAAAATTCATGTATAATCAATTTCGCGGTTGTTTTCTAAGAAAATTGTTGGTTTTGAATTCGAAGAGACCGTCGGTCATATGGCCTCAAAGAGGAAAAAGACCTGTGGAGAAGTAAGAAATCGGCTATCACGTTGCTTCCTTATCTGAGAATATTTAGATCCATCAAACATCCAAATTGATTTACCTGCCAGGTACCTAAAAGCTAAAGCTGATAAAACTCACGCAGGTCTAATAGTATGGTATTATTGCATTTGCAGTTAGAGAAAATCCGTCCGATGATTTTAAGAATCCATACATTGCCGTGGTGGCGATAGACTTTGGCACTTCATACACTGGCTTTGCCTTTTCATTTAACAAAGGTAATGAACAAGACGCGATTTTCATGAACCGGGACTGGACGAATGAACAGGGAGGCAGAACGAGCAAGACTCCGACCTGCTTGCTCCTTAATCCAGATCTCAGTTTCAACTCGTTTGGCTATGATGCAATGGAAAACTATGCACAGCTAAAAAATGAACACGAGGAGCAGAAGTACTTCTTCTTTCAGCATTTTAAAATGGCACTCCACAACGATGAGGTATAGTAGCTGCTTTACAATTACCTAGAAATCTATATCGAAGCTTAATCCCAATCGTCTTAGATGAAATGAAGTTCCTTTCCTTTTGGCACCTGACTATCGAATTTTAATACCCTCAATGGAGTTTTATGCAATCAGAAAACCTTTCTACACTGGAAAATCTGGTACTCAGGTGAGAATATTCGGGGTCCCATGCGACAATATTTAGCGAACTCTAGAACTGCTGCAAGATGTTCTGAGTACTCTCGCGTAAAATGTTTTTCCTACTGATTGTACGGTTATATTATTAGAAACTTAACAAGGACACATCCATTAAAGCTGCAAATGGAAAAGAAGTTAAGGCCCAGACTGTGTTTGCACTTTCAATCGAGTTTCTGAAAGACGAAGCAATCAAAATTCTTGCCTTGGACACCGGTGATGACCAATTTAAGGCAGACGATATTCAATGGGTACTAACTGTTCCTGCAATATGGACTCCAGCAGCTAAACAGTTCATGAGAGAAGCAGCCAATCAGGTGAGGTTGCATAAAAATACATCGTGGTCACTTTGATTCCAGCATATCAGTGCATAGCATGGATTTTTTTTTCACTCAGGCTAAATCACCCATTTTCACTTCCGTGCCTCTTTGTTCAGAAAACCCTTTCGATACATGTGTTTGCTTAGGAGGGAAGGGGGGTCTCCATTTTTGCGAATTAAATGAAAAATTTACAAGCCACATTTTTCACTTACTTTTTTTCTTGTAGGCCGGAGTTGGAAAGCAGACTAATCCTGGCCAGTTAATTATTGCCTTGGAGCCCGAAACTGCCGCAATTTTCTGCATGGAACGGAAGAATATAGAAAGAGAATGTAACAGGGATTTCAAAGATGAAGAGCTTTCAAAACCAAAAACACGGTATATGGTCGTTGATATAGGAGGTAAAGATGTTATTAAAAGATCCCTTTGTTCTATGCTTTAAGTGAATTACCACGCAAAAAGGGTAGCATATACATTTTTAAAGGAATAAAGTGAGCACATTAAGCTCGACTGAATTGGGAATATAAATATGAAATAAAACCCTTAAGTTCCATTCAAATAGACATATTCCACTCGGAAACAATAGCCTCCTTGTTGCAGACGCAGAGAGGTTTAGGAAAGATGTACAGAAAAATAGGCAATAACCAAAGATGAATTTTGCCGCTTGATTTAGCGGAACTTTCCGATATGGGGGGAGTAAGAAGAATTAAAACTGATTGGAATTTTTTCTTTAAATATTTGTAGGTGGGACATTAGATGTGGCCATACATGAGGTTATAGAGAAAGGCAGCATCAAAGAGATTGACAAAATAACGGGTGGTCCCTATGGCGGGATCAGAGTGAACCAAGAGTTCGAAAGGCTCTTGGGAGATTTGTTCGGAGAAGCAAGGCTGAATGCGTACAAAGAGAAGTTTCCTTCCGATTGGCTGGCTCTGATGAACGACTTTGAAGGGAAAAAGCAAGGATTTCGTATGTTGGAAGGAAAAATGACAAGAATCCGTTTTCCGGCAAGCTTTGCTTCTGTGGTTGAGCAAAACACAGTTAAGGAGCGTTACGATGAGAATGATGTTAAGTTGAGGAAGAATGAATATCTTTGCATAAGCCCAAAGATCATGGAAGTAAAGTTGTTCACACCTGTCTTATCTGACATCAGGGATCATTTGAAAAGACTGCAGGAAAGGACAAAGGCTTTAAATGTTACAACCATGATTCTAGTGGGCGGATTCGCGGACTCTCCGATTCTTCAGAATGAGATTAAGAATGAGTTTTCAAAGGATTTTCGAGTTGTGGTCCCCCGAAATGCCGCTATAGCTGTAGTTCAAGGTGCTGTATTATTTGGAAAGAATCCAGCTAAAATAACGGAAAGGGTCATGAGCACAACTTATGGTGCCGATTGCTCTCGGGATTTTGACAAATTCGTTCACCCTTCCGCTAAGTTTTTTTTTAGCCGATGGTCGCCCGAAGTGCAAAGACTTATTTAGCTGCTTTGTGAAGGAGGATGAGGTCGCACGGTCAGGTCATACTGTCAAGAAGATGTATACCCCCCTTCATGCAAATGACACTCAACTTACATTTGGATTTTATGTTGCAAAAAATCCCGAATGTAAGTTTATCACCGATGAAGGAGTAACTAAGATTGGAAGTGTCACTGTCAACTCTCCAGATACTTCTAAAGGGCGAAGCAGAAATATTGAAGTCACTATGCACTTTGGAGGAACAGAAATCGTCGCCACAGCAATAGATATTTCGAGTGGAAGCACAGCTCAAACCACTCTGGATTTTTTCCATGACTAACCGCTATCAAAGAAATGTAATAGCACTCTATTATTCTGTAAGAAGCTGGTGTCGATCTGAAACTTTATGGCAAGTGCTATGCAAAGCGGCGTAGAACAATTTGTGTAGTAGAAATAATTTTAATTGCGAATTTTAAAGTTGTAAGTGCTGCTTGTAGGAACGAGGATGAAAAAACACGCACCAAGGAAATTTGGCTTTTTTAGATATCAAATTTTCTATCGAAGGCGACGGTCTATTCACTAGCTAAAGTGTGAAGTACAAACCTACAGATTCTCATAGTTCCTTATGATATTCATCTTTGCATCCATCGCATGTCAAGAATTCCACTTTTTCCTGATAAATTAACCGCAACAATTTTTTAGTTTATAAATAAAATAAGAGAGATGGCAAATTTGAGCCCGGTAAAGAACTAGAGAAAGATGTTGTTCGTCTTGTCACGAGCGTGAGACAAAGACAAAATTCTGAGTCCCCGTGAGGAAACGAACCCTAGACCTTCGGATTCTGCGCTCCGATGCTCTACCACTGAACAGAGACTCGGTGAGCGAGGTCTATTACGAAGTTCAAAAGCCACGCGTTCTGCATACCGCTTAGATCAGCAATATCGAAAGCATCTATTTACAAACATGACAAATGTATTCGGTGGCCTGATATAAAAAGTCACTTGATCAAAAATACATCTTTCAAAAATTTTACTTAAAGCTGAAAGGAATGATATGCGACGAAAGTTGATACTTGAGGAGCGACAGCCTTGTTTGAAGATTAAGATAACTTTGGCAATTTTTA